GTGGCCAGACCACATCACAGTAATCACGTGAGTGGGTTCTTTAACATCCCCTGCCTAACCAAATTAACTAATTAATAGATGCAGGAGATGGGACCTACGGTTTATTCGTCCTTATCTGAGTAGACTAGAATATCTATCCATTTCTTATTAAAGAAAGGTAGCGCATTCTCCTTAATTATTTTAAGACCTTGAGTGTTGGTCCAGCCAGGGCTCGAACCATCGACCTCGACCTCCCGCACAACAGTCCAGCACTCTAACCAATTGAGCTTACCTGATTTGGCCTTCAATTCTGATAATCCTTCCTCCATCCAGAGGATAGTCAACCTTTGGCACCTGTGAGGCAGGGCGTGGCTCTCCCTCTGGCCCACTGAACTTTGGTGCCACAAAGCAAGTACGCACTAATAAGTAATCAATGAATAGACAATTAATGCTCCTTCTCTGATAAATATATCTTACTAGTAATTAAAGATTCTAAAGGGCAGATGAGTTTGGATAGGAGACTTATATGACTGTATAGTAGCGAGAACTTATTCTTGTTTCTGTAGCAGTACTGTCAGCGAGCCTTGAAATGCTGGTATGACTTAATAATATTATGTTATCCTCAAATGTAAAGGTGGTACCAACGGTTTTCCATTTTCTAGAATGGAACATACACTTCTGGGGGAAAAACATGGTGAGAGAAAAGAGAGCCTTGGTTTTTAAAATGTGAACCAGTGATTGCTAGCAAAGTTTGAGCCCGAAACTTTCATTGGATCATTCTGGAATCCATAAGCCCCAATTTTTCAAAGGAAAAATCATTCTGGAGTCAAGGAGCCCCAGTTGTCCAAAAGACAGACAATGCTTCCACTGATAAAATTTCAGCTTATTTCACAGCTACTAAAAATCATACACAAGAACTACTTGATGCAGAGGAATGCCAGTGTTATTACATGAGCATTTGCTTATCTTACCTTTAATGTCCTCTAGGGTTTCTGTTCCAACAGAATCTGGGAAAGTAAACAAAGCATATGTATACTCACAGGGGTTTCGTTAAGGGCTGGGGCACCGGGCAAATTGACAGGTTGTGAGGACAGTTTTTCCCACCTGGTTTGACCATCTGGAGGAAAGTTTATGTTATAAAGAAGTTCAGTTCAAAAAGTTTTGCCCGCCCTTGAAACCCAGTTGCCCTCCTGCTGAAAACTTTAATGAAACCCCTGATACTCAGCTTTACAGACACTACAACATACCTGTCTGAAAACATTTTAAATAAAGGGGGTAGCTTTCTTCAAAAAACTGTGTTGCTGTGTTGGTGAGGGTATTACAAGATAATCAGTTCTGGTTTTATCAAACGAGTTGATGATGTGAATTGGCCATAGTGCTCAGAGTATTTCTTAAGCTGGCATTTGAGCATTAGCACTTTTTCAGAGTGAATGATGAAGGGCTAATGCTGGCCAAGTCACAATATTTTATCCAACATCTCAGTTGATAAAACCTGAAAAAAATTTAACAGCATATTTGCATTAAGCCAGTGTGATCAATTGTAATTCATATAATATTGTAGTCACTGTGACTGTTCAAGGTTCAAATGCTCGATCTATGTAATTCAAGCCAAAAAACTATACACCATGAGTTTCATAACCGCAGTTCATACATATGTTTCATATGTTTGTTGTTGTTTGATTTATCTTCTACGGGTTTAAGTCGAATTAATTTGATGGCCTGCTCCCAGTTGGCTTGTTAGCTCAATTGGTAGAGCGCTGCACTAGTATCGCAGAGGTCAGTGGTTCGAATCCCGTACAGGCCTGAAATTTTCAGGTCTGATTTTCACTATTGCTCAAATAGTGCTTTACTGCGAAGGGTCGTGCACATATACGTTTCATAACCGCAGTTCATACATATGTTTCATATGTTTGTTGTTGTTTGATTTATCTTCTACGGGTTTAAGTCGAATTAATTTGATGGCCTGCTCCCAGTTGGCTTGTTAGCTCAATTGGTAGAGCGCTGCACTAGTATCGCAGAGGTCAGTGGTTCGAATCCCGTACAGGCCTGAAATTTTCAGGTCTGATTTTCACTATTGCTCAAATAGTGCTTTACTGCGAAGGGTCGTGCACATATACACCATGAGTTATTAGCTCATGTTTGAGCCAATTCAAAACATTCAATAGCCAGCTTTGATTAATGAATGTAACAGTTTTAGTGATCCTCTCACAATAAAGAGTTGTAGATTTGCTGTTTCACCTGCTAGTAACTGCTGGCAAAGTCTGGCAAACAATGGCTTTCTAGACAGTCACCAACCTCTGTTGTGCCATGAATTAAAAGCTTAGACTAAAATCAAGAAGAACAGACAGAATAGCGCGGTAGTGTCTCAAGCTTACTCATAACAGATGACAAAGGCTTTATTCCAGTTTCTATTTGCACCAGACTTCTATCCATCAGTTGTTCCTCCAGGTGCCTGTAGTAAACAAAAAATTATCCCAACTTTAGAAAGTGGATGAACCCTAATTGATCACTGTGTCAGAAATGCCACTCTGTGAAGATCTAAATTATGGTGATTTTTCTCCTATATGCCACCACAGCATCAATTCAGGAGCACCCTTCCTCCACCTAAAA